TGCTGTATGTGGGACGCGGCCTCAGCATGGCCGGAGAAGCGGTGCGTCGGTGCGCACCCGGGATCCGAACCCGGGCTGCCAGCAGCAGAGCACACGCGCCTAACCACTAAGCCACAGGGCCGGCCCGATATAGCTTGATTTTAACTATACACACATTTGAGGAATCAACAGCACTGTCTCGTGTCTCTTTCATAGTATACAACTTAAGTCATTTGTGGCTGTATTTTACAGGTAAAGATCACATTTAATGTGCTTCTTAGAGGCTATGCTTTTTTTTAACCACGTTTCAGATCTCTGTATTCAAAATACCTTAAGTTTTAGTAAGCTTCTAGCATTTTAGGTGAGTACTGCTTCTCAACACATCTAAACTCTGTGGTTATTTAGTCATGATGCTCAAGCTTAACAGAATCACATGGCTCTGGAGGGTGAGAATGGTCAAGTACCAGTTTTATCGTGATCATTATTTGCATTTTCGCTCATGTTCACATACATTCTAAAATGCCTCCTACCGGGAGCCCTCCCATGGTTAGGGCTTGTACAGTAAACAAACACGGACTTCCTCAAAGATGGAGCACACTTGCTTTTCTCCCTCAACAGTGTGTCTGCATATGTAGATCCATTGATACTTTTTAGCAGTTGTGTGACAGCAGTTGTGTAATGTGCAGGTGTGTGGGCGTACTGCATTGCTTCCTGTTTTGCACTACTATAAGTAAGCCTGCAGTGAATACCTTTGTGTATTTGTAGCATACTCTCAAATTTTAAAAATTAAAAAACCCAGTGGTTGTAATATTGTGAGAACATTGACATGCTCATATACTGGTGAGGGTGTGTAAATGGGTACATTGCTTTTGGAAAGTATTTTGGCATGATGTATTTTTCATAAGCCATAAAAATGTTCGTAAGCATAGACACATCATACCCCTGCAAGAAATAATCCAAAAAAAGAAGATTATCTACAAGATATTGCATGATTATTTCTAATACCCAAAAACTGGAAGCAGTTTAGGCGTCTCTCAACAGGAGCATGCATGTGTCAGTGTTGATGCTTCCACTTACTCCAGCCATTAAACTGCTGCACTGCCGCTAACAGCGACCCTAAGAAGGGGTGGCACAGGGACGACTGCCATTTCAGTAGCACTTTGCCCCTCACAGGACACTTGTGTAGCCCATAAGCTTCCGGTGATTGGGGTGAGGGAGTTACATCAGAGTCTGTCTGCACTGAGATTAGACTCTTGTAAAGATTAAATATACAAATGAATAAGGACTAGAAAAGAGCTCAGAAAGTTGAACTTGTTTAAGTGATAATTGCTTTTTACCTTTTTCCTGTTTTGAGTTAAATTTTCCCTTTTTTTAAAAAATGTAAGTAATGGTGTTGGGATAATATTGTGATAACCTTTGACATGCCTCTCACTTTTGGTCCACGTGTTAATAGAGAATATCCATTAAAGTTCTCATTGATATGCAGTATTTTTTGAGCATAGTATCTGACAAAAGCCAAGCAATCTCTTCTCAGGAAAATGCTGTATGCACATGGTCAAACGATACAGTTCCAGGCGGTTCAGGGACAGCGCCATGGCCAGGGACCCAAGGTTTGCACAGGTGGAACTTAGCGTCTCCATCCACCAGAGCCCCTTGGAGCCTTCCTTCTCTGGGGGCCCATCTGCACTCACACGTTCCAGTGAGGGAGCATTTCTAAGCTACAGTTGCCTACTGGAACTGTTGTCTGCAAATATACGAGTTTAAATGTGAAGTCACACCTTAACCGCTGATGAATCATAGGAAGCAATGGTGACATGCCGCCAGTGACTGTTCTTTGCTGGGCCTGGGTACTCTGGTCTTAACTCTTTGGGTCTCTGGTCCAGCCCTGGAGGATGGTTGGAGTTGTCTGCAGGGAAACAGAAGCTTCAAGAGAGAGCCTTGCTCCAGGCTCTCACTGGGTGGAGCTCATTTGCTCTAATCAGTGCTTATAGACTTCACCGTGTCCCACCTGACTTGAGACCCCCTTATCTGTGTTGACAGGAGCAGAACTCTTCCAACGTCCCTGTGCCAGCCCAGGCTGCCAGCGTGGGGACCCAGCCTCCCGCTGCGTCCGTGGCCAGCACTCACAGCAACACCCCCTATCTCAGTAGCCAGCAGCAGGCAGCTGTAATGAAGCAGCATCAAATGCTTTTGGACCAGCAGAAACAGAGGGAGCAGCAACAAAAGCATTTGCAGCAACAGCAGTTCTTGCAAAGGCAGCAGCACCTTCTGGCAGAACAGGTAAAGAGAAAGGTGGACAGAAACCCCCACCACCCTCACCTCTGCCTACCTCACAGGTCACCGAGGTGGCTGCAAGTCCATGGTGTGTGTGTGGATTTGCGCTCATTTGCGTGTCCGCTGTTAGAGTGCTTTGCCCTTTTAAACCCCTTTCCAGGAGCGTGGCATTTTTCATATAGTGGTGGCCTGTGTCAGAAGCAGCTTTACATCACTCAGTGGGGATTAATGAAGGCAGAATCTGTAGCTAAAACTGTGTGTGTGAGGGATCTTTTTCCATGTTCCTTGTTGGGAGCTACCAAAGCACTAAGCCCAGTGGTCTGCTGGTTACCTGTGGGACCCAGCTTTGTTGTAAATGTGAAGTTTATTATAAGCCAGAAGGTGAAGCAGGGAAATGAAGATCTCCCTGAGGTCCTAGGGTCCCAGAATCAGGACTGACAGATCCCTTCCCAGTCCTACAGTTCAGCCACTTGGTCACTAAGTGTAGTATACGGGCACCAAGATTACAAGAGTTCTCAGGATTTTAAATTGTATCTTTAAGACATAAGAGAAGAGCTAGCTACCCAGAGGATAAAGTTGGTTGAGGATGACTTTGAAGCCCACAACACTGCCTCAGTTCTGCCATTTTTTTTAAATAGGTTCATTGGGATATAATTCATATGACATACAATTCACCCATTTAAAGAGTACAATTCAATGGTTTTTAGTATATTCACAGAGTTGTGCAGCCGTCAATTTTGAACATTTTATCACCTAAAAGGAAACCGTATACCCATTAAAAGTTATTGCCCCATTCCAGGCCTAGGCAACCACTAATCTACTTTTTGTCTCTATAGATTTGCCTATCCTGGACATTTCATATAAATGTATTCAAGGTTCAGCCATGTTGTAGCATGTATCAGTACTTCCCTCCTTTTTATGGATGAATAATATTTTGTTGTATGAATATGCTATGTTTTATTTATCCATTCATCTGTTGATAGACATTTGGGTTGTTTCCCCTTTTTGTGGACATAGGTTTTCAGTTCTCGTGAGTGTTCCACCTAGGGGTGGACTTGCTGAGCCGTACGGTAACTCTCTGTTTAACTTTGGGGGAACTGCCGGACTGTGTTCCAAAGCAGCTGCCCCATTTACATTCCCACAGCAGTGAGTGAGAGTGCCCATTTCTCCCCGTCCTCGACACACGTAGTTGTCTTTTGATTCTAGCCATCCTGGTGGGTGTGGAGTGGTGTATCACTGTGGCTTTGATTTGCATTTCCTTGATCTGCCCTCCATTTCTTTAAACTGATAATACCATCTTCATTTTAATTCATTGTTCCTTAGATCTGCCCCATCCTTGTGTTTCATACTCTTTATTAAAAATCCCCCAAGTGAGATCACCAACATTATCTCCACAGGAGTCCATCCATGAGTAACAAACTTGGATAGTCCACTTTTCTCCAATCTAACTCTGTTTTTGTTTTAAGTGGGTCTTATTGTTTTGTTCTGTTGTTCTTGGCATTTTCTAGGAGAAGCAGCAGTTCCAGCGCCATCTGACCCGCCCGCCACCCCAGTACCAAGACCCAACACAGAGTACCTTCCCACAACAGGTTGGACAGTTCACAGGTGAGGGGCATCCAAGGTGATGGAGTGGGGGCAGGGAAGGCAGGCACTGACAGAGCAATGGTCTGGTCCACTCGCACTGAGTTCCTGCTGTCCGCCTAGCTTTATGCTAGGTGCTCAATGGATTTACTTGCTCATGTAAACTTCATTCTGCCTAAGGAGCAGTTCTAAGGTTTAAAGTTACCCCGTAGGCCAGGAGAAGAGGGTCATAGAGGCTGACCACTGTGGCTAAGTACTTTGGCTGGGTCCCTGGCTATACATTCTTTTTAAGCAAAATCATTTCTAGTTGGAGGATATCTTATCAACAGGAAACAGTTTCTGTAATTCTTAAGAAAGTTCTTTGCTACTGCCGTTATACGTCTTCTCAAAAAATGACCCTCTCCTATTTTCTAGATAAGGGGAGACTTAATGTGCTGTGTGGCCTTGTGCTTCTTTTCTTTCTTCCTGTTTGCTCACTTTGGTGTCACGGGTGGCAGCATCAGCAGTGTACAGTTGACCAGAAAAGGGCAGCAAGTACTCTGAGGTCTTAGCTGTCACATCTCAGATATGCGAGGGAACCTGGCTGCCGTTGCTCAGGCTGTCACTCCACAAATACATAGAGATTTCAATTGACAGGTGCAGTAAAATCTTATCTGTACCTGCCTTCCTAGCTTTTCTTGGAATATCTTCAAAACCTGTCCTTTTCTTGGTGAATGACTCTCACAATAAAGTGTCCCAGAGAAACTGACCCATCACAGCTGTGCGTTCTGGAGGAGACTAGATGGGGTTTTATGTGTGTGCTAACCAGGACTGTGGAGTTGAAGTCTGCAGGCATCTCAGAAGCCTGGGTCTCGGCCGGCTCTCCTGCCTTCATCCCTCCTCCTTGCTGGGGACTGTCAGTGGGAGTGAAATAGACTATTTCAGCTCTCCTCTTTTCCTTAACCCAGTTTCCACTTAGGAGCTAGTAGAGAGAGGGAGAAGAGAAACAAGTACTCAGTTATGGCCGACCCTGGAACAATCACTCTCCTACCCACTGAAACTCATCTCAGTTAGCGTTGTCACCGTGCATCCGTTGCTTAAGGCAGAGCCCCAGACAGCAGGTTCCCCGAGGACAGAGCAGATGCTTGGTAAATATCTGCCTGTGTCAGTCTAGACTTCTCCCTCCCGTGACCACTTTGTCGGTCAATGGTGTAAGGAATAGGAGCGCACGTTCCGCCTCTCTTACCCCCACAGTGCCATATTGTAGGAGCCCCTCACCTAAGTGATTTTAACAGCCCTGCCCAGCAGAGTCTAAACCACAGTCGCAGTCCAGTGACCCTTTGGCCTTGTAGCCTTTTCCTTCACGTGGCAGCCACAGCTGTTCTGGATCTGACCGAGACTGTCTCTTCAGTCTTAGCTCTAACCACCTGGATGTTCTCCCCACAACCCAGCCACAGAGTCCCCACACAGACTGCCTTTCATAACTCCATGCCTTTGCACACACACTTTTCTCTGTCTAGACTACTGTTGTTCTGAACTGTTAATTACTAAACTTCTACTTTTAAAACCCAATGTATTTGTCACCATCCCTCTGAAACCTCCAAATCTTCTCAGGCATTGAGCCTTCGGTCGCCCACTGCCCAGCCTTTGTGGGAACCCTGTCACACCACATGGACTCTCTGTCTCCTGAAGGCAGATCCTGGGTTGGATCCATCTTGGAGTCCCCAGTGCCCAGCACAGGGCCCACCACAGAGCAGAAATGGGGTGGGCCTTTGAAAGGTGAACGATGAGCCGGCCCCGTGGCTTAGTGGTTAGGTGCGTGCGCTCCGCTGCTGGTGGCCCGGGTTTGGATCCTGGGCGCGCACTGAGGCACTGCTTCTCAGGCCATGCTGGGGCCACGTCCCACATACAGCAGCTAGAAGGATGTGCAACTATGACATACAGCTATCTACTGGGGCTTTGGGGGAAAAATAAATAGATAAATGAAAGGTGAATGAGTCTACTGACTTTCCCTCCCCCGGGGCTTTGCCCCTTCCTCTGTGCTTGTCTTAATCTCCTCATTGCTCCAGACCAGCTTCCATTCCACCCTCTTGGAAACCTGCTACCTCTTTGGCCCCCAGGGCTCTCTCTTCCTTGAGGTTTCATTGACCATGAGATATCTGGTGTTCTGATTTTGCCTCATGCCCCTAGGATAGTGGCTGCAGCTTGGGTCTTGAAGGTGTCTCCACAGTGGTGGTCAAGAAATGCCAGCTTGGGCCCGGCCCAGTGGCATAGTGATTAAGTTCTCACTGTCCGCTTCAGTGGCCCAGGGTTCGCAGGTTCAGATCCTGGGTGCGGACCTACATACTGCTTATCAAGCCAGGCTGTGGTGGCGTCCCACATAAAAAAAAATAGAGGAGGATTGGCACAGATGTTGGCTCAGGAACAGTCTTCCTCACAAAAAAAAAAAAAAAATGCCAGCTTGATTGACAGAATCTTCTCTGTCTTCTAGGGTCCTCTGCTGCCATGCCTGGCATGAACAACTTGGGTCCATCTAATTCCAACTGTCCTCGAGTGTTCCCTTCAGCCAGGAATCTGATGCCGGTGGGCCCTGGACACACTTCGGTTTCCTCTCTCCCCTCAAACTCAGGCCAGCAGGACCGAGGTGTGGCTCAGTTCACTGGCTCCCAAAGCATGCCGCAGAGCAGCCTCTATGGCATGGCCTCTGGCATAACCCAGATAGTTGCCCAGCCTCCGCCACAGGCCACCAACGGACATGCCCACGTTCCACGGCAGGCCAGTGTGGGCCAGAACACCTCAGTTTCAGCTGCCTATGGGCAGAACTCTCTGGGGAGCTCTGGCCTCTCCCAACAGCACAGTAAGGGGACCCTGAACTCTGTTTTAACTAAGCCACAGGTCCCAAGGGTGTCAGCGGCCATGGGAGGCCAGAATCCCTCATGGCAACATCAGGGAATGCCAAACCTGAGTGGCCAGACCCCAGGGAGCAACACCGTAAGCCCCTTCACTGCAGCCTCCAGTTTCCACATGCAGCAGGCCCACCTGAAGATGTCCAGCCCGCAGTTCTCCCAGGCGATGCCTAGCCAGCCCATGGCCCCCATGAGCTCGGCAGCTGCAGCAGGGTCCGTGCTGCCCGCCGTGAGCACGCAGCAGAGGACCGGTGCCCCTGCCCCAGCACCTCCCCAGGGAGCCCCGCAGCAGGGCTTGCCAGGCCTGAGCCCGGCTGGGCCTGAGCTGGGGGCCTTCAGTCAGAGCCCCGCCCCACCAATGGGCGGCCGGGCGGGGCTGCACTGTGCCCAAGCCTACCCCGTGCGGACCTCGGGCCAGGAGCTGCCCTTTGCCTACAGCGGGCAGCCGGGTGGCAGTGGGCTGGCCAACATGGCTGGAGATGCCGACCTGATCGACTCCCTGCTGAAGAACAGGACTTCGGAGGAGTGGATGAATGATTTGGACGACCTCTTAGGGCCTCAGTAAACAGCAGGATTTATGGTGTTTTCAGTGTTCATACATCCTGTATTTTTGTTCTCAGATTCAATAAAAAGCAACTACTTTGGACCAAAAGCACAGGGCCCCGGGGAGCAGGGTGGGTAGAGCCAGAGCCCTCAGGCTGAGGCCCGGCCCTGGCCAGGACCTCCGGGCCCATGTCTCTGAGCCAGCAGTTGTGGTCCGTCGGGCTGGCCCCCGCCCCTCTGCTGGCGTCATTACCTGGTGTTGGGACAGCAGGACAGGGTTCTACAGGTGGTTTTCTATCCAAATACCAAAACCCAACAGTAACAACAGTGAAACCCCCTGATGTCAGGTTTATAAAAATCTCCTATCGTGCTGACTTGATCCAAGATTTCTCCACTTGCCCCAATGTTGGGGACGGTTTCTATTGAAACTTTATATAGCAGAACTATTTACAATTTGTAGCATAGAAAAGATTAAATTTTGTTTAAAAAAGGTTTTAAAACAGATTGGGATAGGTGGTGGTTTAAATTGATTAAGTGGCATAGGGAACCTAGGGTTTCCTTTTGATTAAGAGCCTTTTTTATTCCTGCTCTTTTTCAGCTTTCAGGGGAAAGGGAGGGTCAGTGGAAAATCATTTCCGTAAGGACTGTATGTGCCAAAAAGGAACAGGATGCCGTGAGATAGCAGAGCGAGTGACACAGATGTGGTCTTTCCAGCAACTCCTCCTCCTCCCAGAGTGTTCTTCTTCCAGGCTGGCATTTACGAGGACCAGCTGAGGAATCCCTTCCTCCACATTGGTAGCAGGACCCCAGGCAGCCCCCAGGCTAAATGCTAAAATGGAATATTTGGGATTCCTGTGTCCTCTTTTGTTGTAACTTCCCACCTTTTGCAGTTTCTCTGAAAACATATTTAATGTGTTAGAAAGGTGATTGTTGTTGAGTTATGCACAGATGTCTTCCTTCACCCGGTCTTCAATTCCCGTGTCCTTTCTTCCTGCCTCTTCTTTCTCTCTCCAGCCCAAATGGAAACCCTCTTTAAGGCAATGATTTACCAGGTTGGAGGGGAAAAGAAAGAGTCATTAGAATTTCTTAGGGAGCAGTAGCATCATAGGGAGGAAGGTATCCCATCCTCAGAAAGGCTTAAGGGAAGGAGAAAAAGAGATGGCCCTGTTTGCAGGGAGGCCGCAGCCCTTGCTGGGGGAGGCGTTCACTCTGCTGTACTCCTTCTGCCAGTCCCACGTCAGATGACTTGCACTTTTTAAAGAGAATTGCTTTATAACACTAATACATCCTTTATAGAGATTCCAGTGGATTTCTCTTTCAAGGTCTATGAATTAATGGACTTGCCTAAGCTGAGAGTCCACAAAGCAAAGAATCACCTGTGGGCTGTTTGTAGAAAGTGAAGACAGAGAGAGCACTTCGGTATAACAAAAGCAAAATGGTTAAGCGCAGGGAGAGACCCTTTTAAACGGTGTTGGAGAGAAAATAGTACACTGAAAAGAGTGGCTTATATGTAGAGTGGTCTCTGGAGAAACCCCAACCCCATTTTGTTTTCCCTAGAGCCTCAAAAGGGATAATTCAAGGAGTATATGTAAAGAATTGAGCCAAGGAAAATATTCACGGGGCCAGCCTGAGTGGCTTTGAAGGGGGTGTGAAGGGTTGTACACACTTTGGTAATTATTTTGCACCAGCAGTGCCTTTCATGGGGGTACTTAAGCCCTCAGATCCTCTTCTCTAGTAGCCATTTGCCACCACAGGTGGTGTTTGGGCCATTTCCTCTTTAAATACCCTGCCGGCCTTCCCCAGATGCTGAATTTAGCTCTCAAAGAAGGGAATGAATCATTAAGCTAGTGAAGACTCCACCCTCTGAGTGAGTTCCCCAATCTGAAGGGGAAGAGGGTAACTTCAGCAGGTTTTCTACCAAAAATAGCGGGCTGAAGGCTGGTGATGGGTCCTTGTTCCTCTCCTGGTCTCCCTCTGACTGCTGCTCACCTCTGTCCTGGGGCACTGTGCCTCCCCCTCCTGGGGAGGGCTGCCCTTGCCTTAGTCCTGGGGCTGCCGAGACAGACAGCAGGCTTCCCACTTGCTGCAGTGTCAGAGCAATAAAATGTGATGCTTGGGGTCCCCCAGGGAGCTGCCCGTGGCTTTATTTATGAGTCTGGTTTTTGGGTAGTCAAGGGGGGAGACGACTCCGCTTTAGCGCAGATCCCCATCTTCCAGGAGCCATGACTCAAAAGGGTGCTCGGACTTTTGTTATACACATCCGCTTTGTGTAAATAAATGTTTACAATTTTCTATTAAAGATGGAATAAGCGTTAGAGCTTCTGACTGTATATTTTTTACTTTTATAGATTTTAAAACTATGATCTTTTATATATGTGTTTTGGGGGAGCTATGATAAGTTTTATGGCAAACAGTTGATATTGTTAACTTTTTATTGTTATCAAAGTGCATAAAAATCCTATTAATCCCCTTATTCTTCTACTTCCCCTAACTCTGGTATACACCAAAAAGAAATCTTTCCTTTCCTTGTTTTATCATTATAAAATAATAAAAGTATTTTGCTAGTATGGAAACCGCCCGTGTGCTTGACTTCACATGGCCTGCCTGCAGGGAGGAGGTAGAGCCGACGGGACTGCTTTGTCTGGTGGTTGGTTTCCTTTTGTGATTTAGCTGCTTTCTTATTGCAGGGGTGGGGGTGGGGGGTTTACCTCAGAGTAACTTGTGTTGTGTGATGACAAATATGACATGAGAACTGACATCGCTCAGGGCCACCAGCCTCCCCCTCTCGGGCTCACCTGTGTCCTTGTGTCTAACGTGAGGGAAGTTGCGCCAGATAATTCAGGGATACTTTAGGTCCCCAGCAGTTCAAATGTTCTACTTAAAGCTCTTAGGTTTACCCACAAAGCAGTTCTCCAGGTCATGTTTAGTTTCCCTTTTTTATTGTAAGAACATTGGCTCTGACGCATTCACCCACCCTGTCCTGTCAGTGTCACACTGTGTAGGGGCATCAGATGATGGTGGCAAAAGCCACCCCGGGGAGCCTGGAAAGTAGATTTCCTCGGTGACCATGGGCTAGCAGTGGCTCAGACCTGGAGAAGCCAGGGTGCCTACAAGGGTGGGGAAGAGCAGCCTTCCAGGAGGCCAGGCGAGGAAAACTGCCCTGTGATAGAATTAACTTTGATTACTCGAATGAAGTCTGAATGTAGCCTTGTATAGAAAGCACAGGGAAGGAAAAAACTCTTAAGACCGCCCCATGAAGTCTTGGCTGAGAATGCACAGAAAGGGGGGGGTTCACCCTCACCAGTGATCAAAGAAGCACAAATTAGAACGAAAATGAGATGAGTCTGCCCATTGGAGGAATAAAGATGAATGATGCTCTGCTGGTTGCAGAGTGGAGAGGCAGGCTGCTGTACAACTTTTTGTGGGAAGAAATTTTAAAGAGGGTATCAAGCTTCTTAAAATTTTAATGCCATCTGTCCAACCCAACAATTCCAACTCTGAGAAGCCATCCTTGAAAATATTCTTGGTGCAGAAAAAAGGTCATAGCACAGAGGTGTTCATAGTAGCACTCTTGATGACCGCAGAAAACTAGGAGAATCTAAATAGCTGTCAGAGAGAATGGCATAAAGTCACTGGTAGTACTTGCATCTGATGAGATATGATACAGTTATTTTAAGTATTTATGAAGCAACTTGGAATGATGGTTTTGTTGGGCTTCATGTTTTCAGCCAATAGAAAAGAAATCTGCCTAATAAAACCCTAAAAATTCCTGCTTCCAGCCCGTTCTTGAGGTTGGCGGGTAGCTCTCAGATCAAAAGAGGCACTAAATAGCCAGGCCTTAGGAGGGGCAAGAGCCAGGCGGTTCCCATCTCTGAAGTGCTGCCACCACTTGCTTCTTGCAGGTCTCCAGCCAGGCTCTTGGGGGGATGGAGACAGTTTACTTGCCAAATGTTTATGGAGCACCTGCCATGGCCGGCATTGCACTAGTATCAGGGATAGGGCAGTGGTATAGGAGGGCTCGGCCCTGTTCCCGGGAGCCTGCAGTCTCGTGTGAAGGAGCCATCGTAGACAGGTCAAGATGATTTTGGAGTGGTGAGTGTCGAGAAGAAACAAAAGCAGAGTGAGGAGATGGAGGGCACTGGGGCTGAGGAGAGCCAGGAGATGACTTTAGATATGGTGGTCAGGGCAGGCCCCTCTAAGGAGACATTTAACTGAGGCCGAGTGCTGGAAAGGAGCCACCAGAGCTCAGGGAAAGAGCAGTTCACTGCCGCAAGGGTGGGAGAGGAAGTTCCCAAAAGGAAGAGGGATGCTATTAGCGGGAGGAACGTTGAGGAGGCAGAATTAACAGATGCCAGCATGTTAAAGTAAAACACAAAGGACATGCTGTTGCATGTAGTTGGGGAGTGGGCCCTTGCCCCTCCACTGGGTGCCTTGAGCACAGCAGTGTCTGCAGTGAGGGCCTGCACTACCCCAGGGCCTCTGCCAGCCTGGTCCGAGAAGACGCCCAAGGTAAGACTGGGTCCCACATTTAACCCTGGGGTTGGACTGCCCCTGCCATCGTTAGCAGCACTGTCAATAATGCAGCCTTAAGGCCAGCCAGCTGATGAGGGCCTGGAAGTGGCAATGTGGCTGCAAAGCTGTTGAAAGATGCAAAATGGTGGTTGCCTGTGAACTTGGTGCAAGGCTAGTGGCTGAACTCAACTAAAAGTTTCAGGCACCCCGGGGCCAACACAAGCAGTGGTGGGCGATGTCTTGGAAACAGATCTGCCTTTCTGCACATGGGATAAATTTGCCTTACTGGACTTTTCTTCTTTTGTCCTCAAGCTGGTAATGCACCTGCCACTTTTCAGATTGGCTGTGCTTACGTTTCACAGATAATTTGCTCTCTGAATGGTTGCAATAAGCTGGGCTGCAGACTCCAGTCAGTGCATGCAGACCATTTCGTGAAGGTTGGAAAAATAACTTAAGACTCTCACCCAACTGGAAACCAGCGTGACAAGGACAGAATTCCTGGATCCACCTCGATATCAATGTCCTGGAATGTAGTCTCTGAGAGGGGCAACCTACATGAGGGAAAAGAGATGCTGTCTACTGCAAAAACAGGACAACAAATACATCAGTGCCTGAGCGGGGTGGGGGGCTGGGGTGGGGTGGTGCCGGATTCCCTGTTCTGTGCAATGTGGCTGAGTTGGAAGACTTCACCACTGCAGGCAACAGGTCTTGTCCGGATGAGTGCGGAAGGAGCAGGAGCCGCTGTTAGGTCGTTGCACGGAGTCCACGCAGAAGGCTCATGTGTCTTTCTATCTGGAAAGCAGAACTTTCCAAGGTTGTGGAAAGAAAAGCTGGAATTATATATTCCTTATAAGTTCCTTATATATTCCTTATAAGTCCTAGCTCCACTTGACGCAGCCAGGATGAGTGCTTGCTGGACGCCTTTGGGTTTATTGCTGCTGACATCAACACGTCTCATCGTGAATTGTGAGGTTCTAGATTGGTTCCATGCTTTCACAAGCACCCAAGTTCTTTTCTCCAGCTCAGGCAGAGCCCAACCACATAGTCACCTTCAAAGTCGAGAGCTGCAGACATTGCTGTCCTTCCTACTCTGTCGTGTCACCCTCAGAGTGGGAGGCCCAAGGGAGTCCTAGTCCTCGAATAGTGAGAAAATCCAGATCTGCTTTGTTATATCTCCCCCCGATGCCATTTCTTCTTTTTGATACTTGCTTGTGCAGTAAAAGACGCTTTCCTTAAACTCTGCAGCTGCCTCTCATTCC